AATAATAATAATCTATAAAAAAACACAATTTTTTTTCCTTGCTGTGTGGGCCTTAATCAAACAGCCAATATTTTTTTTAACACCACCAAATCTTTTCCGTTTGATTCCTTTTTTTCTTTTTCCTTTCACCTTTTCTGTTTTGTTTTCTTCTCACTTTGAAACAGCAGCGGTGGTATGGTGGTTCAAGGCTCCAACAAGGATAATAGCAGCAAGGACAGATTGCAGTTCAATGTGCGAGACAAAGGTGCAACAGTGTTGTGGTGGATCGGTCATATCAGCAAGTCGGATGGGAACAGGTTCGTGGGTCGTCGGACCTCGAGTCAGGTACGGTGCAGCAACACAATTCAATTGAGTTGCAATCTGTGCAATTTTTCACGGCTTCAGATCAAATCAGAAGCAAATAGGCCAATTGGTCTGTCGTGTCACACAACAGAGAGTCAAACGATTCGATGAATTCGGATTAGCAACGATGGCGTCGCTCGCTGTTCGTTTCGAATTCAGAAAGGGTAGCAATGACAACAGTTGCTTGCTGATCGAGGTCGGCACACCACACACGGCTGAGCCGCAACAGTGCTATCGCAGCTATGGGGTATTTTTTTTTTCCTTTTTTTTCCGACCTAACTCTGATGCCAAGAAGAGAATGCTTTCAATGATAATTTTATTCTTCTCAATGAGAGGTATTTATACAAGGTGTACAACCCTAATGTAATAGGAAGAAAACAAATTACACAAGATTACAGGAGATTACACGGAATTGATATCAATTAGGAATCCTACCTAAAATACAAAGTCAACAGAGTCCACTCTTAGGCCACCAAGGTCTATGCTCAGCCCAAAGTACATGAACTAAGAGAAGCTCTTTCAGTTAGAGTCCGATAAAATAATCTATTCGAGTTTCGAATTTGAGGACTAAGAGTTTGACAAGATGACTAATGAAAAAAAAGGGATTATTTGTCAATTTAGTTAACAAAATAGAATGAAGAGGAAATGTGTGAAATTTCGTTCCTAGATTTCAATATTTTAATTTAGGTAAATCATATTAACGAAATATTATATTATTTTTTTTTATTGAACTTTAGTTAACTTGTTATAAAGTTTGAATCTTAATAATTAGTCATTAAAAATCAATTGACCTTTCGGGATCAATCTTAGTATTTTCGGATAGAGCTTGATCCCACAAACGCATAGGTGAAAATCGTTTACAAAATAGGGTTTTAACAAAGGAGAAATTAGCAAGAAAAGGCAGGGGCAATTTTATGTTCGGATAGAGCTTGATTCGAGAATTTTATGTTCTCTGCTAAAAAGTGGTATGCAAAATGTTAGAGTTTAACAAGGGGCAAACTACGAATGGCTTGATCTAGTTCTAGAGTACATAGGCAGTCTAACATAGAGGTTAGATGCATCCATAAAGCAAACGAAAAGTTATTCCGCTATTGGACCTTTGATGGTGTCTTGCTCATGTCTCGTAGGTGAGGCATAATAGATGTACATGTACGAGGTGACGTCACTTGTCGATCCTAGACGTATTTCAAGATCGGAGCGTGACAAAATGCATGCATCATTCTTGTGTCCATTGTGTTAAAGTATAGTGGTTTTTGCACTACTAAGCTAGAAGCTAACCCCTTATGAATATCTAACAGGTGTTGAATCAGATCTGAAAGGTAGTTAACTTTCGATGGAAATCTAGAGAAACGTTTGCAATGTAAATTAGAGTGTGATAGTGCTATTATTAAACCTTATCACGTAAAATAAAAGTTATGTATTTTCATGTTCTTTTTATTTTGATTTGCTCACTAGGTACGGGGTTGTTTTTTCACCGATCCTGGAGAGATTTTCAATGTGACCGATACACGAGGTGGTACACCACGTGTTACCATACAAATAGTAGGATATGTGTATTAAAAAGTTAATAACTTAAAAAATAAAATTTTCCACTTCTATAAAAACACATTATATACCACCCGTATTCCCGTTACAATAAAAAATTTCATTTCTCCCGATCCTAAGCCTAAGGCGTGACATCTACCATTGGCAAAGGTGCGGTGCATGAATCCATGTTGTCAGCACAATCATTGTTTCGATCCTCCTATCTCTGCATGCAAGAGTTAATGTTAAGGAGTTATCTTTCTAAATCATTCTCTCGAGGCACATTAAGTTTTTGAACCATTGGACTATGGTTATGAGGAACTTGAATGCCCTCAAAATCCATCCAATCCTCCACTTATGAGGTAAATCCTGATTAATAGCCTACTCTCCCACAACAGGATTTGGGTTTGGAAGAGGGGCTCAGTTTTCTTCCTACTATTGAGCAGAAGGTTGGAGCTTTACCCTAGGTCGTTATTGCGCCGAGCGTATGCCATAACGATGTTTCTAAGGTTTAGAAGGAAATGATTATGTCTAAAAGTTCCTAGATTCAGAATTGAGAGACTATTATGAGTACAAATTCTCAATGAAAGTACTAATTTGTGTGGAACGAATTCTGTACAAACATAGAATTACTTTGATATACCCCTACTACCAAGAAGGAAAAGACAAGTGAGACATTGGCACACTGATGCAGTGAGTCAAAGACCCTTCAATGCCTAAGTCAAATTTAAATTCAACCAATATTGCTTGACTTTGAGAGGCATGAGGGGCCTCAATCATGAGGCCTGTTAGGGACCGATCCAGGATTTAGAATGGGGTGAACTAAATTGTTTAGAATTTGGAAAACACTTCTATTTCTTTCTAAATCATCAGTAGTATCCCAGTGACAACATATTTTAAAAAAATTATATGCTGCCAAGCCAATACAATTTGAAATCCAAAACGAAACAATAATTTCACTTGAAATTTCATAGAGCTACATTGATTGAAGTATTCAATTGTACGAAACAAATGATTTATACTTCAATTGTACGAAACAAAAAGAGAGAGAGAGAGAGAACCATTAGGCCATCTCCAACCAAAGGGTCCAGAGGGCTAAAGGGCCGAAAATAGCCCTAAAACCATCTTCAACCGAGAGCTAGGCCAGAGGGTTCGGGAATCTGGGAGGGCCCCACGGAATTTCAAAGGGCCAAAGGGCTGGCTACTTTCGGCCAGCTAACCAGCCCCAGGCTGGCTATTTTTTTTTTTTTTTTATAGTTTTCCTATTGTTGTCAGTTATAACCAACAACATTAAAGAATGATTTTTTAATACTGTCGGTTATAATAGGTATTCATAGGCAAATTTTTTTTAATATAATGGCTAGCTGAGTCAGCTAGCAGTTGGGTTTTTTTTTTTTTTTTTTTAATTTAAACATTTCTTTTCTTCTATAAGTATGGTGAAGTTCTTTCAATTCTTCACTTCATTTGCAATATTTCCTTCTTCAATATTTTTCAATATTTCCTTCAATATATTTTCCAATATTTCCTTCATCTATAATATTTGTTTCAATTTTTTAATAATTTCCTTCAATATTTTTTCAATAATTTCCTTCAATATTTTTTCAATAATTTCCTTCATTTTTTCCTATAACTTATATTTCACAAAATTTGTTTCATATTTTTTTTTAAATTCCATTTTTTTCTATAACTTCTATTTCACAAAATTTGTTTCATATTTTTTTTAAATTCTATTAGCGGAAGGTCGAGAAAGCCAACTGTTGTGTTAGAGGATCCAAAGAGAAGCATTGGGATTGGAAGTTGGAATTCATTCCAAAAGAGAAGCATTGGGTTTCATATTTCTAACACAAAAAGATGAGGAGTTATAGAAAATGAATTGAATTGAATTGAATATGGGCGCAAATGAATCCCAATGCTTCTCTTATGTTAGAAATTCAAGTTTGCAATGAATTCCAACTTTCAATTCAATATGTTTTGTTTGTTGCGCCTTACTTGAAACCCAATGCTTTCAATTCATATGAAACAAATTTGTTTCAAGCATTGGGTTTCATATAGAAAACAAAATTTGTTTCATATTTTTTTTAAATTCTATAACTTTTAGAAATCTTTTTGCGCCCATATTGAATTGAATTGAAGCATTGGGTTTCATATTTCTAACACAAAACATCTTCTCGTCCCATTTGCGCCCATATTGCTTCTCTTTTGGAATTGGATGAGGACCCCCAGTTGGAATCTGAAGAGAATCCAAAGTTGGAATTCATTGCAAACTTGAATTGAAAGAGATTGAATTTAAATAGATTGAATTCAAAGTTGTGTGAATTATATCCCAATATCCACCCTATTTATAGCAACAAAAAAAAAATTCAAATCCAACGGCTAGCTGACGTCAGCATGATGTTAGCTACCAATGGCTAGCTGACGTCAGCTAACTGTTGGATTTGAATTTAAGTTGTAGTTTTTAAATAATAAATTATGTTTGGCCCTATGGCCCTATGACCCTTTGGCCCTCGGTTGGAGACGATTTTTTGTGAAAGGGCTAAAACGAGCCCTCTGGCCCTCTAGCCCTCGGTTGGAGACGAAGGCAAATATGACCCTATACTGTTCATTAAAATATTAATATCTTAGAGAATCTTGGAGGGTCAGAGGGCTAAAACGAGTCATCTGGCCAGCCATCGGTTGGAGATAGCCTTAGATGATGATGTATTAAATATATATTAGTATTGTAGTCTGACTCTAAAAATAAATAAGAAGACCCAAATTGTTAGAAAACCGGGCTTAAGTAATGAGCACGTTTATCAACTTTTAAGTAATAATTCACTCATAAACTTATATGTCATTTAATTTACACAATTTTATCTACAAATCTAATTTTCCTAACATTACCCTAGTTAAAATAAAATATCTAGAGTCGGCCAAACAAAAAAAATATCTAGTTTAACTCCGAAGGTATGTCTCCCATACACGTTTCAAAAACAAAAACAAATACAGGGATGATGACCGACAACCAAGGCTTGGATTGGGCAAGTGGCAAAACCACGAGACACGAGAGTCCCACCTTTGGCGGATATTTTACGTATGAGCTTGTGATGGAGAAGAGCTAAAGCCTCCTGAAGACAGTTATTTTAGGACTCCCAACACTTATATAAGAACCCTCCACCACCACCATGCACCCAGACAACATCCAAAAACTCGGTCCCTCTCCTCCTCATAACCTCCCTTCATTTTCGCATTTTCTTAAATTTTCCCAAATACCCCTACCTCGATATGGCTGATCAGGAGCAGCACAGCCGTGGCCTCTTCTCCCACCAAAGGGACGAAGACGAGGACGAGAAACCCTCATCCTACTCTCAGTCTCAGTCTGGTTACGGTGATCAAGCCCGTTCTGGTGGTGCTTATGGCGACTCCACTACTGGTTACTCTTCCGAAGGACGTACCGGTGCCCGCAGCGGTAGCGGCTACGGTGACAGCACTGATTACTCTGGTGAAGGATGCCATACTGGCGGAGGCGGCTACGGAGGAGGCAAAACTGATGATTACTCGGAAGAGGGACACGGAGGCCGTGCAGCGTACAGCGAGACCACAGCTTACTCTAGCGAAGGACGTCTTACCGGCGGAGGTGGCTACGGCGGGACCGGCAACACTGATAGTTACTCGGAAGAAGGACAAGGAGGCCGTGCTACCGAGACCACAGCTTACTCTAGCGAAGGACGTCGTACCAGCGGAGGTGGTTACGGCGGGACCGGCAACGCTGATAGTTACTCGGAAGAAGGACACGGAGGCCGAGCTACCGAGACCACTGCGTACTCTGGTGAAGGACGTCGTACTAGCGGCGGAGGTGGCTATGGCGGGGGAAGCACTGATGATTACTTGGAGGAAGGACACGGAGGGCGTCGCGGGTACAAAAAATCTGATGATGATGACTCGGAAGAAGGACACGGAGGGCGTGGCGGAGGAGGGTACAGCAAGAAAAGTGACTATTGAGGAGCTTAGTGTAGCTGCTGCTACTGGCGCTTATGCCTTGGTAAGTACTGCAAACCCCTAATTTTCATGATTGTAGCCTTAGATTTAGCACTTACAATTATTGAACTCTAGACATAAACCCACCTATATTTTTTTTTTGAAAGCTAAACCCACCTATATTAAAATATCTAAATAAAACCCAAATTTTGAATTTGATACATGTAAGATAAAAGATGTCCATACATTTAAATTTATTTACAAAACCATGCCACCAACATTAATATGACTATTACGTTTTTTTTTTTTTTTTTTTTTTTTTTTTTTAGACTTTTAATCTATTGTCTTTTGTTTGTCAACAACATTCAATTAGTTTAAGTTTTTTTTTTTGCTTTTAATTTAAAAAAAAAAAGAAGAAGTTCTTTTCTTGTTTTATGTGAAATCGCCTAATCCAAATCTAGTTAGTTCAATATACATTCTATTGAAAAAGTAGATACATTAACTTGTGAAAATTAAAAAAAAAAGGGTAAAAATAAACAAGTAGATACATTGTTTCTTGTAAAAACTAAACAATAGTTACATTATTTTCATAAAAAAATAAACAATATGTAAATTTTTTTTAATTACACAATAGGTACACAATTTTCGTACAAATTAAAGAATAGCTACTTTATTTTTGGAAAAAAAAAAGTTTTCTTTTTAAAAAATTAAACAATGAATTTATAAGGTAAATTAGTTTGCATGTATTTTTCATATATATGAGTTTGTTATTATGTAGGTAAATTATTTTTCATGTATTTTACATATACTAGGTATATCATTTTTCTTTTTTTTAAGCAATCTAACATTTTAAATTTTAATAGTAGGTGCACTATTTGATTCAAATGTATTTTTTTGTAGGTAAATTATTTTGCATGAATTTTACATATATCAGGCATATATATATATATATATGTGTGTGTGTGTGTGTGTGTGTGTGTGTGAAATAATTTACCAACATTAATATGTAAAATATAATTTTATTGACTTAATTAAGCATGTATAATAACACATATTAGACATGTTTTATGTTATTACATATTAGGCAATGAATTTATAACATTAATGTTTTCTTTTTTTGTAAAATCATTAATTCTCCCTTACCATCCATCCGCATGGCATTAATTATGTACATCGAACATTCAAATAGGGTTTATAAAAAAAATAAATCAAATAGGGGTATTTTAGGCATCCAAATTTTTTTTAATGTGTAAAGTCAAACATAATTAATGAATTTGCTGATGTGGAATCTAGTCAATGGGTTTTATTCAAGAAAAAAACTTATGTTGGATTTTATGTAGAGAAAATTAAGTTTTAAGGGCTAAAGTCATATTTTCAGTTAAAATGATACTCTTATCTTGCATTATTGTATATCTGCCAATGAAATGGCATGTTGATCAGTCTTAGAGGGAAGTTAAACCATATTTGTCAACAGAAAAACAAATTGGGAGTTCTGACCAAAATCTCTTTCTAATTAATCATATTTTCTGTTGCCTAAAATCTATGTGTACTATTATTGTAGAATCGTAAACGTAATTTCTATACATCAAATCAAAGATAATGTTTTATTTGATAATTGTTCATCTCTTAGATCTAGATATGTATGAGTAAAAAGTTTGAACTTTTTATGCTCTCTTTTTTTTTTTTTTTTTTTTTCTTTTTTGGCTGCAGCATGAGAAGCACAAGGTAAAGAAATAAAGTCAAAGAGAAAAGAAAGAGACTCGAGAAAAGAAACGGTTCTTTGCAATTTAAAGCAAAATAATGATCGCAGTACAAGGGAAATAATGATCAATTAAATATTTCTTAGTTTTGCATTATGTTTAATTTAGTTATTTTGTATGGTCACAATCCAAAGTGTTTATCTCTCAGATTGGATTGATGCTTGGTGAGTGTTTAATTAGATCGGTGTTATCTAGTTTTGTTAGCACTACATGTATATCGTTGCGAATAAAAATATCGAATAGTTTACTTGGTATTATTTTGAACAGTATTTATTTGAGATATTATTGCTTCTTTTAAGAGAAACAATCGCAATTTTTATTGATTTAGGAAGGATTAATATTTTGTCATTTAGTATTATAATTTAGTGATTGTGCGAATACTGAGCACAACTAATAATACACCATTTTTGAAGGATGGTTCTGACACCATGAATCTAAATCGTGCAATCATCGTCTCCATTCGGTAAGCATTACAAAGTCAGAAGGGATGACTGTCATGGTAACTCTGCATGCGAACACCATGAGAATAATTGATCAGATATGGGAATTGTGGATATGAAGCATTGGGTATGGAATGATCGACCTCCTTGCAAATCCCATATCTTGATTTGCCGTATGACATACCAAATCAATGCGGGACTTGTTTTTCATTCCAGAGACTATTAAAACTCAGAAAGGATGAATAAAAACCCAAAACTTTATCCACTAAAAATCACATAAATTCAACTAAACAAACGCCAAGGCAAGAACCCTGCAGTGATTCCATACAGGAACCCAGCAAGCTAAGAACAGAGTTCAACCTCATAGAGAAGTCAAAATCATTTGGCTCTTAAACCAGAAAACAAGAACAGTAGCTAACATTGAAAAACTATCTTCAACATTCACTCATCGATGAAACAGGCTTTTAATGAACAATCGAAATCTGGCAAAGAAAAGAATAATAATGAGCAAGACACGCAACGTTCTTCCCTCGACGCTATAATCACCTCACCTGTTGTTTCCCTCAATAAGAAACTTCATTGATCTTGTCGAGTAAGAGGAGGCCCTCTTCATAAGAATCAACAAAGCGATACTGACCAACCCAACTCTTGGCAGAAACACACATGCATGCGCATTCCGCATTCATGCATTAAACTATGTTGTACCACATATTGGGCCATGATGTATGTAAGAGGGGAAGGAAACCTTGTCCTATAAAAGGCATCATTCACCCTCAATGGCAAACCCTAGCCTCTCTTGCAACAATAATGTAACTCTCATTTCATATAGTGAAACCAGATCGACACCAATGTGGACGTAGCTCCAACTTGGGATGAACCACGATATACCGTTGTGTTCTTGTGATTTTACAGTCAGATTTTTTCGGTTCAAGATCGATCCGATTTTGTGCATTAACAAACTATAATGACAAGACAATAATATTGTTTGTGTTTATGTACTTCAGCTCGAACCTAAATCATTTCAGTCATGAAACATATTCATTCCAAGTACGACCACCTATCAACGTACAATGAGCTCCTTATGACATTAATCATTAGTAACCTAAAATACACATACAGGTAGAGAATAACCGAAAGTCTATCACACTTGATAAACAGATCATCTTCAACATGAGTTCTTTACCAGTACTAAGAAAAACTGAAAAAGCCAAACTTTCCACACCAATATTATCGGAGAAGTTATTTAACCAACTAGTTTATCTTAATAAACAACCATCTTCAAAAAATAGCAATAAGACCTTCAAATAGACTACATTAGCTTTACAATAAGATAGAAATTCAAATTTTGAAGCAAAAAAACCAAAAAAAAAAAACTAGGTCAAGCTCATTATTTCACCAAATACATCTTCCTAACCAAGTAAAAATTATACCCAGTCAAGAATAAAGCGCATCATGTTTCAGATACGACACTGCTTTGGGAGTCTACAACCATTGTGAGGCTTTCGGGTTCTATCTTCGATGTATACAATGGGACTGTGACCCGCTCGGGAACTAGTGAAGCCCTCTTTCCAGCTTATGATAGCCTGCCTTTTCTTCTTAAAATAACTAAACCCCTTCACCTTCATTACAACTGATTTTAAGCCAAAATTTCTTGACATCCGTCCAACATGTTCTGCAGTTGCTTCAGCAGAATACTTGGCCAATTTAGGTCCTCCTTTCATGTCTGGTAAGGAACCAGCTGAGGCCCCAAGTTTCTTGTTGCCCTTTGAGTCCGTCACAGTAACAAAGGTATTGTTTTTCATCAGCTTTACATGGACAATATCAGCATTTTGCTCTATATTATATCGAGGAAACTGGGAACCCCCCAAGTTGTTCCATCCAGCCTCCTCTATAACTCCCCTCACAAAGTTTATAGACCTGGAATTCCTTGCACCATTCTCGGAAACATTGAAACCATTTTGAAAATTTTCATGGTGGCCTGTAAATTCCACAATATATTTTCGATCATTAGATATCACTAATGAAAGATTGATTCCCTTCCCATCAAAGCTTCTCGACTCACCATTTATATCATCAAACTAATTTCACAAGCAACCGTATTCAAAACCTAAGTTTGAGGTAAAAATAAATAAAAAATAAAAAATGTCTAATATTGAATCAACCTCATAGGCAACAAAAACAGAAACCCAATGGGGCGAAATAAAAAAGGATGTAGGAAGAAGAACTTGCCTGGTGGAGACGGAGAAAGACCTAGAAGTGATGAGCTCGGCCTGGCCCTGGCATCGGGTTCTAGCAAGGCGGTGAATCAGAGAGGAAGACAATCGAGATAGAGACGAACACATGGCGTGTATGATTTCCTGAGGAAATTAAACACACACAATGGGTAATCTGAATAGAAATTGAACAGCATTTCCAATTCCCTCAGCTACTGGAATGTCAGAGAAACAGAGTGAGACAGACCACCAGCTACAAGGAGAAAATCGAAAAACCCCTAAATCGAAAAACTTTGAGAGAAGAAAATGGAAACCCAATCATTGAAACGAAAAAGCAATGAAATTGAAAACCCAAATAGAAAACCAACAAACCCTAACGAGAAGTGCAGAATCAAAGCATGCTAATAATCTCATTAAACCATCATCGATGTTCATATCCGTTACCTACCCACTATGAACATAAGAGAGATCGACAGACGAGAGAGGGGGAGAGAGAGACCTCTGGAGAGGCAGGAACGAAGAGACGGAAGCGCAACCGAGAGAGAACAACAACACTGGTGCACTGCAGACTGAGTGCTGACTGCGAGCCGAGTGTGTTTTATTGTTTTGTTATCTACTTTCTGACCAACATCGTTTCCTTATTTGCTTTTCGACCTCCAAACGTTTCCAAGTTTCCAACTTTCATCATTCCAGTTCTTCTTCGATGATATCATTCGCAACATTACCAGTCAAATGAAATGAAACATCAACAACCGGATTTAGGGTATTAAGTCAATCGAGCAACAGTTGTTCCTTCATTATTATCCTTTATCATAACTATAATCCACATGCCACAAACTTATTCAAACATGATTTAATTACATGACTTGACAAATTATAAAGAAGCATAAGGCAAGATTGGTTGTGGAGTAGACTACAATGAAACATTTGCTCCACTTGCAAGATTGGACACCGTAAGAACTCTCATTGCACTTGCAGCTCAGAAAAGCTGATAGTTATATGAACTTGATGTAAAATCATCTTTTTTAAATGTAGTGTTGAATGAGGAAGCCTATGTGGTTCAACCTGAGGGGTACATTGTTCCAGGTTCTGAATACAAAGTATATAAGCTTAGAAAGGTTCTTTATGGACTAAAACAAGCTTTAAGAGCTTGGTATGAGGAAATTAACTCCTATCTAAGTGAAGCTACTTTGTATATCAAGATCAAACAAGGGGGAGAATCACTCATTGTCTCCATTTATGTTGATGATACTACGTATACTGATAGTAGTATGGAGTTGATCAATGAATTCAAGGCTGACATGATGAGAAAGTATGAAATGACATCCCTTGGACTTTTTGTATCATTTTTTGGGATGGGAATTCTACAATCTGAGAATGAGATTTTCATTAAACATAACAAGTATGCTATGCTTTATTAGAACAGTTTGGCCCAAAAGATTGTAAACCTGTGGGCATTCCTGTTGCAGTGAATGACAAGCTAAAGAAGGATGATGGCAGTGAGTCTGCAGATGAAGCTGTGTATAAACAGATTGTAGGAAGCTTATTGTATTTGACAAAAACAAGACCAGATAGTCTACTGTCAAGATTCATGCACAATCCAACCAAGAAGCACCTTGGAACTGCAAAGAGAGTACTCAAGCACATCCAAGGGACTCTTGATTTTGGAATTGGATCTCTGCGTCATAGTTGTTTTGGTGTGAATGTAATGGAGCAATGAACTCCACCTTCTTCTTCCTCAAGCTCAGATACCTTAATAAAATTTCGTTCATCCAAATTGCATAAAACTCAGAAAAAAATGCAATCCAATTCACTTAACAAACACTAACAGCCAGGACCCCTAATTGAGTCAATTAAGGAACATTACTGGCTGGCTTCAACAGCAGTCTTGTTCTTATACACTAGGATACAGAAAGAAATGTTACAGCATGTCCTATTCATGAATGAATCATAAGAGACGGGTTGAAATAAACATGATTTTGCACCATGGCAGTGTATATACCTAGCATTGTCGAAACAAAATAGTAAGAAACAGACATGATAAAAGATACCGACATGATCTAAGGGAACTGGGTCATGCTTAGTACATGAGCATTAGGCATATCCGGCACTGGCATCTGGTACCACTCTTTGAGAAGACAGCAGATCTTTTGTCAGAGTTAGCATAAACTTCCACTTGGTCTTGCTGGTTGAATGACAAAATCTCTTCGAGATGAAGATAAAGATTTTTGTCAGAGCTTCCACTTCAACTTGGACCTATAGAAACAGAAAACTTCAACAGTAAGTTTTCTTGATTGTATTTACTTGACAGAGAACTTTACACATTGTGTAGGAATATATATAGCCTTTGGCTATTTACATAGATACCCCTAACTACTTTATAACTATCTTAACTAATCACAACTAATACAATCAGTTAATGTACAGTAACAGAATTATTAACAGTAGCAGACTTAGATGACTTGTCATTCTCCCTAATACACCCCCTCAAGCGAGAAGGGGGATCAGAAATGAGGCCAATGGGAAGCTTGGAACACAGATAATTAAATCTGGTTTTAGACAGAGACTTGGTGTGAAGATCAGCTAATTGGTCTTCACTGCAGATGAACTTGACTTTGAGAAGTTGAGCCAAAACCAATTCTCTAATATAGTGATAATCGATCTCAACATGCTTTGTTCGAGCATGAAAGATAGGATTAGATGCTAAAGATATTGCTGATATGTTGTCACACCAAAGAGTAGGGAATGTAGAGAGAGGATAGTGCAGATCTTTGGGAATCTTGCAAACCCAAGTTATCTCAGCAGCTGTGTGAGCTAAGGAGCGATATTCAGCCTCTGTAGATGACCTTGCAACAGTACTTTGTTTCTTGGCACTCCAGCTGATAAGATTGGAACCCAAAAATACACAATAACCAGTGGTTGATCTCCTGTCAATTGTGCAACCAGCCCAGTCGGCATCCGAGTAGGCAGAAAGATGGACAGGACCTTTAGTGAACCACACACCATGTGAGATAGAGCCTTTGAGAAATCTGAGAACCCTTTTTGCGGCCTGGAGATGTTGTTCCCTCGGAGCATGCATGAATTGGCAGATTTGGTTCACAGCAAAAGCAAGGTCGGGTCTAGTCCAAGTAAGATATTGTAAACCACCAACAATGGAGCGATATTCAGTAGGATTGGACAGAAGAGGGCCACTGTGATCTAATTTCTTAGAGCCAAGGGGAGTGCAACAAGGTTTTGCACCCTCCATATTTGTTTTCTTGAGAAGATCCAATAAGTACTTTGTTTGATGGAGAAATATACCCTGTGAAGATCGATGTACTTCTAAGCCCAAGAAATAATGAAGATGACCAAGGTCTTTTACTGGAAATTGAGCCCCAAGTTGCTGAATGAAGTGTTGACAGAGGTGAGGATAGGGTCCGGTGACAAGAATGTCATCAACATAGACAAGGACAATGACTAACTGAGGACCATTGAGAACAAATAAAGAAGCATCTGAGGATAATTGGGTGAATCCAAGAGAGTGAAGAGCTTGGAACAGTTTATCAAACCAAGCTCGAGGAGCTTGTTTGAGGCCATACAACGATTTCCTCAACTTACACACAGATGTAGGGTGTAAGGGATCAACAAAACCAGGGGGTTGTTGCATGTAGACATCCTCCTTTAAGTCTCCATGAAGAAAGGCATTACTAATGTCCAATTGATTGAGAAACCAATTATATTGCACAGCAAGGGTAAGAAGGATCCGAATTGTAACCGGTTTGGCAACTGGACTGAAGGTTTCTTGAAAGTCAATACCCTCTTGTTGATGAAAACCCTTGGCCACAAGCCGGGCTTTATATCTGTCAACAGTGCCATCGGGCTTCTTCTTAATCCGGAAAACCCACTTGCAGCCCACTAAGTTTTGAGAATGGTGAGAAGGAACAAGAGACCAAGTACCAGTGGTTAGCAAGGCATTAAATTCATCTTGCATAGCTTGCCTCCAATGAGCATGCTTAGAAGCTTGCAAGTATGTTGTAGGAACATAATCCATATCAACTGGAAGTGGGTGCTTAGTTGCTGCACAGGCTCTCGACGTGAGTATACCAGCCTTGGATCTAGTAATCATTGGATGAGAATTAACAGGGGCAGGAGGATGACTCTGTTGATTTTGGGAGAAAGATGAATATGCTGAAGGAGGAACAAAACTGGAAGAAGAGCCAACTGAGACAGGTGCAGGGGAGGATGAAGATGAAGAAATAGGAACAGGCACAGAAGCACATAATGGTGATGTAGATGGCTGACTGAAAACAGGAGGAATGTGTTCGCTAAAATGAAGATCCAGAGAGGATGAAATTGTTGGTGAGGAAGATGGAGGACTTGGAACAGGAAAAGAGTGTTGATTGTGGGACAACTGAAATGGATAAGTACTTTCATCGAATACAACATGACGAGAGATGTAGATGCGATTGGTGATAGGATCAAGGCACCTATAGCCTTTGTGTTGAAGACTATACCCCAAGAAAACACACGTTTTGCTCTTGGGATCCAATTTGCTATGAAAGTAAGGTTTGAGCCAAGGAAAGCATTGGCAACCAAATACTTTGAGCTTAGAGTAGTCTGGATGGTTGTGAAATAGCAACTGCCAAGGGGACTGTGAAATGCCAGAAATAGGAAGGCGATTAATAAGATAGATAGCAGTGGAGAATGCTTCTACCCAGAAAATATGAGGGACATGAGATGCAAGAAGCAAAGTGCGAGCTGTTTCAACAAGGTGCCTGTGCTTTCTTTCTGCACAACCGTTTTGCTCAGGGGTGTGGGGACAACTGAACTGATGAAGAATGCCATGTTTGCTGAGATATGATGCAAAAGAGTGACTAGTAAATTCACCCCCTGAATCTGAACGCAGAACCTTTATTTTATTTCCAAGTGAATTTTCTACATATGATTTGAAGACAACAAATGTAGAAAATACATCTGACTTAGATTTCAAAGGAAAGAACCAACTATATTTGCTATAGTCATCAACAATGAGCAAATAATATTGAAAACCACTACTTGATGTGATTGAGGCAGGTCCCCACAGGTCACAGTGCAGTAGTTGAATGCTGTGAGTTGTTGATGAAGTAGCAGCTTTAAATGGAAGCTTATGATTCTTGGCAAGAGCACAATCCGAACAGAAAAAGTCCACAGTAGACTTGCCTTGTAAAGCAAGATTATTGGATGAAAGGAGCCTTCTGAAAATGGAGGAGGAAGGGTGACCCAAACGCTTGTGCCAAATTGTAACTGGAGCTTTAATACTAAGTAAAGCTGTAGGTGAAAGAGGATGAAGATTGCTGGAACTTTGAAGAGGATAGAAGCCATCTCTAACCGGTCCCCGTAAAAGCATCTTCCCCGAAATACGATCCTTGACATAGGATCCATAAGGGTCAAGTGTCAATGAACAATTATTATCATTAACAAACTGATAAGCAGATAAGAGATTATGGGTTATGTGGGGAACATGTAAAACATTTCTCAATTGAAAAGAGTTATGAGAGGTGTGCAGAGTAGATGAACCAACATTGAGGATGGATAAACCTTTACCATCTCCAATATACACTTTATCCTCGCCAGTGTAGGGAGTAGGAGAGGTGAGGTTAGCAACATCATTAGTGATATGAGAGGTTGCCCCTGAATCAATTAACCAAGGCTGAGATGGTTTAGCAGAATGCTGTGCACACATGGCAGCAAGCTTAGCTGGAGGAATACGACCACAGATGTCAGGATTCATACGAT